TCTACCAGCAGCTTCAGGGCTAGTGATGTTTCAAGTGGTAAGACTGTGAGTTTTAATAAGTAAAATTATCCCAGCTACAATGACAGACAACAAATATTATATTTACAGTAAAACCGTTTTTGACGCCGCCACCACAGTTTGTCCTTCATGAGCCTTCGTAGACAAGATGGCGGTGCAAGATGGTGGTAGCCTGTAGGGGCGACCCGCGACCATGGAGATATAAACAACTTTTTATAATGTAAAAAAAATAAAACAAGGTCTTTGTCTGCAATGATTAGACATGTTTTTTATTATTGTCATTAGTGATTATCTCAATTTCGGCTAAAAGAATTGACAAAATCCTACACACTGTGCCTTTGAGTTASAAGTTTACTTTTCAGAGTCATAAACCTGTGGCTTGGCTTTGGACTCAAAGGGTCAAGTCCGAGAAAAAGTCTCTGAAATACTTCAAATGTTTTGGCCAGTTTTGAAGGATACTGGAGATTAAGGGCATATGTCAACCCAAGGAGCAGGCTGCAAGCTTTGGCCAGATTGCCAAGTTTGGTGAGCACTGGAATGCCTTGGATAATGATGCCGACATCTTCAGGTTCACTGGAAATGTAGATCCTAATACTGTGGATCTTCAAGTCATCATGGACATGGGTCTCTGTTCTTCCCTTTGGGACATAGAAACAATAATTTATTGGAAAAAAAAAGGAACAGAACTTTGATACAAGGATCCCAGCTTAAAATACATTAATTCATATTTCATAATAATTTTTATACACTACATTTAGAATTTGAAATTTGGACATAGAGTTGCCATTACAGTTACCTTGTATTCAACAAATTTTGACATGTACAGTGGGGTGCAAAAGTTTGGGCAGCCTTGTTAATTTTCCTGATTTAACTTTCTAAATCATTGATTGTTTGGATTAAAAATATCAGTTAAATATATCATATAAAGGGCAAACACAGTGATTTTTGAGAAGTGAAATGAAGTTTATATGATTTACAGAAAGTGTGCAATAATTGGTTAAACAAAATTAGGCAGGTGCATAAATTTGGGCACCATTTTCTTTTTATCGAGTTCAAAACCTTTAGAACTAATTATTGGAACTCAAATTTGGTTTGGTAAGTTCAGTGACCCTTGACCTCCATATACAGGTGACTTCTATTGTGAGAAAGGATATTTAAGAGGGGCAGTTGTARGTTTTTCTCCTCTTTGCATCTTCTCTGAAGAGTGGCAGCATGCGAGTCTGAAAACAAGTTTCAAATGAGCTGAAAACAAAGATTGTTCACCATCATGGTTTAGGGGAAGGATACAGAAAGCTATCTCAGAGGTTTCAGCTTTCAGTCTCCACTGTGAGAAACATTGTGAGAAAATGTTAGACCACAGGCACAGTTCCAGTGTAGGCTGGAAGTGGCAGACCAAGAAAAATCTGGAATATAAAAGGATGTTGAGAACAGTTATAGTCTAACCCTAACCCCGTTTCCCTCTTGGGTGCTTGTGAAGGAGCAACTGCAGTCTATCCCTACCAAGCCTTTGCCTGGGGTGGATGTACTGCACACAGCCTGTTTACTGCCATTGTACCATAGTGCACCTGCTTGTAGCAGCCATTTTCACATCTCTGAAGTGTCAATATAAACTCTGTGTTGGGAGTGGCAGAGCTAATGTAAACAAAAGGTWGGGAGGGCAGAGCCAACAGCAACTTATTTGCATAAAAGTTCATTCTGAACAGAGCTCAGAACTGAAAATGATTTTGTGTATTGAATCTAATTAAATCGTATTTTGATTAGCCTATGAATGCTACTAATTTCTTCAAGGAACTCATATTAGGTCCTCTTTAAAGGGATCCATGATTAGTTGTAACATTAGACTTTATTTGCTAAACATATATTTTAACTGTTAAATAAAGACTATAAAAATACTGTAGGATGTTCAGTTTTTATAATTTTTAAACTAAAAGTTAAAAAATATATTTTGACACGGACGGGGCCATTTTATTTACATGCAAAGCATTCTGGTTAAATGAATGAGAATGAGCGGGGGGGGTTTTTTTCGCTCTCAGAGGAGTAAGATGCTTCTTCCTTCTCTCCTGTCCTTCCTTATCTTCCCTGCTTTGCTGCTGGAGCCTTCTCTACATTTTCATCCGAAATAAGAAATCATGGATATTTTTATTTTTATGGATTTGGTTAGCTGGTCTCTCAATAAAATTCTTGGAACAAAGTTTTTTTCTTCTTCCATGGGAGGACGTCAAAGGTGGGACCTCTGTTCTTCTCTGTTCTGGATATATGTCTGGACTCCAATCACTGGATTCTACAGATTGGCTTGGTGGTCTCCTGGTGTTCTGAAAAACAGCGTCGGTGGCTTTTCATCTCCTGGCTGACTGACCAATTCGATGGATGGCTGTTTTCTATCAGAACTCGGACATTTTGCCTTGAGCGAACTGGACTCGGTCTGCAAGCGGTTCTATTGAGGGTCGCAGGCCGGCTGTGGTCCCTGGACTTTGCTGGCCAGATGGAATTGATCTTGGAGAAGCTGATAGATTCGGCTCGGTGGAATTTGTCCACACCATTTTGCCTGATTGGGATCGCCACCTTTGAGATGTACCAGCAGAAACTCTAAAGCAGATGGAAAATTGTTCTTGTCTGCTTGTCTCTTCTGTTCCCAAAACAACTGATTACAGAATCTGGATCTCCCTGACAATGGCCTTGGATCTGTTGACTAATTCTTCCTGGCTGGATGTGTTGACAAGGTTCTGCCCCCCACCTTCCCCCCTCCTCTCAATTCTGTTTTCCAGAGCTGGCTGAAAGCTGCACAGAAATGAACTGTTCCATCAATATTTCTGAACTATGGCTGCGCTGGTTTTGGGGACTGGATTCTTCAGGGCCCCCGAAACTCACTTACTCCTCTGGCTAATGAACTTCCTCTATGCAGAGTTTTTTTTTTTCATAAACACCATAATGTGTCACAGTGTTGATATAATATGGTGTTTTTGATTTTTTTTTTCCCTCATCTTCCCTTCCCTTGTGTGTTTTTCAGTTTTTCTTTGTTTCTAAGTTGGCGCCACGGCAGGCAGCCTGTTACTGCAACTCCACTGGTTTGAGCTTCTGTAATGTTCAAATTTCCCCATTGTGGGAAGAACCTCAGCTTAGCCTGTTTGCTTTAGCGTTAGCACCAACACTATCACTATATATGTGTATTAACTCAGCGCTACACATTCTCCTCTCGTCACTGATGTCCTCCATCCACATGACAGAGCGGAGAACGCAAAAATGACTCAGCCTGCAACCCAAAATATGGATGGAGGACCTCAAGTTTAGCTTGTTAGTTTGTTGCACTAGCACCAAGCTAATACATACAGTATAAGGCAATATAGCATCGGCGCTAGTGTGAAGGCTAACAGACTAAGCTGAGGTTGTTCTTCCATGAAGCAGCTCTGTTGTCCTC